AATAAGACCTAATCCAAATAATTTAATAGTGTGTGACGTTTTGGCAACAGCATTGTCACCATCATCAGATAAAATAATAAAATGATTAATAATATAATAATAGAAATAATAAAATTTTGTTTTTATTCTTTTGTCTGATGATGGTGATAATATTGTTACCGAAACATCACACACTATTAAATTATTTGGATTAGGTCTTATTTTCTTGTGTCTATAATCTAGAATCCAAATTGTGCTTTATCATTTCTCATTGAAGTTGTTCTTTTTTTGTTCGCCTCCTCTCTCTCATCTTGACAAGAAGGATAGGATTAGGATCTGTTTTCAAAAGTTTCATTTGAAAACCTCTCTATTTATGCCTTTTTTTCTGCTTATCCCTAGTACACGTGGTACAGGCCATGATAATCATGGTGGGTAGCTAGCGACTGCTTTTACTGTAAGCGCATGTCTACACATGTGAAAAGCAGTTCGACTTTGCACTTACAAATGTGCCAGAGCCCTGTTTGGTTACTTGCACTCGCTGGTGGGGTTGGACTTTTGCAAGAATCGGGGGGCCATTGGAGCATTTTATTTTTTTTTTCAATAAGAAAAAAGTATTCAATGCGGGGATCGAACCCAGGTTGTAGTGGTCGAAAACCAAATGGCTTAACCAGCCTTCCACCGACCCCCCAATGATAATCATGGTGGGTAGAAGTAAACGACTGCTTTTACTGTAAGTGCACCATATGTATACTACACATGTGAAAAGCAATTTGACTTTGCACTTACAAATGTGCCAGGGCCCTGTTTGGTATTTATGCCATGAAATCAGACAATTCATGTGCTGTATCCTATTTTTCCGGTAAACAATAACTTATTTTAGCCCATATTTTTAATACAATTATATATATATGCAGTTAAACCTGTCTATAGTGCCCCCTCTTGGGACTCACCAAAATAGGGTGTTATAGAGAGGGGGTAGCTATAGACAGGTCGCTTTTAATGTAAATTGCATTGTACTATGTATTTAAAATCGCGCGCACACATTATTGACTGTATTGACTCATCCATTGATGAGCTCTACTCTTCCCCGGCAGACACCATCAAGGGTCTCAAGCTTTACAAGCTTGATACCTTAATATGATTGAGTGGAGATAAGAAAGAAGAAAATTGGGCGCTATAGAGAGGAAGGCACTATTTAGAGGGGGCGCTATAGACAGGTTTAACTGTATGTATACACACATACAGCTTTATTAAGACCACCAGTTTTATACAGATTCACCACAGGAAGGAAGCATAGATAAGAGCTCCTGTACTCTAGGCAGCACAAAATCCAACAACAACCTCCAGCTCCAATACAATTACAGTATAACCTCGTTAATTCAACACACCCCAATTCGACACTCGGCGATAATTCGACCATGTTCCGATGTCCCGACCTCCGGCCTATCAAATAACAAACCGTAATTCGACAGTATCGATAATACGACAGTTCCGATAGTTCGACCATTTTAAAATTCGAATTTCGACAGTTGAATGTTATTTTACATGCAACTTTACCGCTAAACGGTATTACGGCGGCGACGATCGGCATCGGCGGGCGCCGATAGGATAGCGCCTGCGCACTTTTGGTTTCTGGTTAGTTGAAGTTTCACTTTGCAGTGCCGTTGCGCAATTTCGCGGATGTTATTGTTGTTTTTTTTACGCGGGAATTTCGGCATCATGCACTAACTAATAATAATTTTTATTTTTTTTTTATTTTTTTAACATTGAAATATTTTAGCTATTTTTAAATTTATAAATAATTTCTTTTTAAATAAATAAATCTTTATAAAATGATCCAACAATGATTATGATAACATTTTAATTCAATATTCTGTGTTAATTTGAATAAATGAGTGGGGCAAGAATGTCAGGTTCTGCCAAAAAAAATTGGAAACGTAGTCAGCATCACCAGCTCACTTATGTGAAAAAAATGAAAATTATAGAAGAAATAGAACAAGGAAAATCACATAGTCAAGTTTCCAAAGAGAGAAATATTCCACGCTCCACCATTAGCACAATTTTTAAAAATAAATTCGCCATAAAATCTGCCTTTTCAAAATCTAATTTTAGCTCTACCTTGAAACGTGATCGTGACGGGGAATTCCCAGAGATTGAAGAAGCCCTGTTTAGGTGGATAAGGCAGGCAAATGCCATGAAACTTGCCATAAATGGCAATATTTTGAAAGAAAAGGCTATACTCTTGGCCTTGAAAATGGGTCAAGATAATTTTGAAGCTAGCAATGGCTGGCTAGAAAAGTTTAAGGCCAGAAGGAATATTGCTTTTAAACGACTTCATGGAGAAGCTGGAAGTGTGGATGCCACTAGTGTAGCCACTTGGAAAGGTGGGATTATTCCTTCACTTTTAGCTAAATACAGCCCACAGGACATTTTCAATGCTGATGAAACAGGGTTATTTTATAAACTTTTGCCTAATCAAACAATGACTATCAGAGGTGAGAAATGTGAAGGGGGTAAGAAGTCTAAAGAGAGAATTACAGTGTTGGTATGCTGTAATATGGATGGAAGTGAAAAACTGCCTTTACTTTATATTGGGAAATATAGAAGACCACAATGCTTCCATGGCATGAATATTCCCTCAAATTATCATTTTAATAAAAAAGCCTGGATGACTGGGGCAATTTTTACGGATTGGCTGAAAAAATTGGACCAAATATTCAAAAGAAGAGAAAGAAAAATTTTATTAATTTTAGATAATTGCCCAGCCCACCAAATACCTAAAGGGTTACAGAACATTGAAATAAGATTTTTGCCCGCCCTAACTACAAGTGCATTACAACCCTGTGATATGGGTATCATTAAAGCCCTAAAAGACCAATATAGGAAACGAATGATAACGTATCTTCTCACTTGCATGGAAGAAAAAAAAAATGCTCAAGTACATTTACTCTTTGCAATTAGCTGGCTAGAGGCTGCATGGGTTGGGGTTAGTTCTTCCACAATAAAAAATTGTTTTTCTCATTCAGGATTTGTGATGGATGAAGCAATGGAAGAAGTTGTTGAAGAAGAAATGAACAGATCTTTTGAGGCATATTAAAAAAAACATCAAGCCATTGATGTCAACTATATTGACTTCTTGGAAGTTGATAAAGATGTGCAAGTTGCTGGGGAACAGTCCATTGAAGAAATTGTAAAGGAGGTAATGGGAAAAGAAGAAGATGAAGAGGTAGAGCCAACAGAAAAAGATTTAAACAAAACATCAATAACACCTGCAGCAGCAGTGGATGCCTTTAATACAATAAAAACTCTTTGTTATTTAAAAGACATTTCTGAGGAAGAAAGGCATGCATGTCTTTTAAAAATAGACTATCTGGAATACATCCTGAATAGGATTTCAGAGAATCTTGATTCTTTTCAAATAATATTTTTCAATTTTCTTTTTATTTTCCATATTTATTTTCTTTAAACTATTATTCAATTGGAATAAAATATTATTTGTTTCAAAAATATGTATTATTGCCATTTTGTCCCAGATACTAAAAGTTAATCATGAAAATAAAAAAAAATAAATATAAAAAAGTACACACACAATGGTTTCAATTAATATCATTAATTTATATTACAAAGCTATTTATAAAAAAATATATATATTATTTTAGCTAGTTAGATGATTAGCTAGTCATCTAACCTTAATTCAACACTTCCTTTAATTCAACCGAAAACTCTGATCCCTTGGGGTGTTGAATTAAAGAGGTTCGACTGTATCTAAAAAAAAAAAAAAAAAATTTTTTTTTTTTAAATGTAGAAAAGCTTCTTTAATTATTGTTATAATAAAGAAACCTCTTTCTCCATTGTTCTTTACTTTTTGCTATTTACCTAAGGAGCTATTATAGTTTTATATGTTATAGCTATTATTTTATATTATAGCTATAATTTGTATATACAGTTAAACCTGTCTATAGCACCCCCTCTAAATAGCGCCTCCCTCTCTATAGCTCCTGATTTTAAATACGTAGTACGATGCAATTTACATTAAAAGTGCCCTGTTTATAGCACCCTATTTTGGTGAGTCCCAAGAGGAGGCGCTATAGACAAGATTTAACTGTATATCTCTTATCATCATTTATATAGGTTTATAACTATATTTTATATACAGTAGAACCACCCTTTATTGGACACCTCTCCACAAAGGACAGTTTTCATTTGCAAACTTATCATTTTTACAATTTAACAACTCTCTGGTAAGAGGACACCTCTCCCTAAAGGACACTTTGGCTCTGCAATTAGGTGTTGTTCTTTACAGGGAGGTTCTACTGTATATATTTTTTTCCAAACCAACTTCCAACCAACACACAAATGATCTTCAAAAATCTTTTAATATATTCTAGACTTATAAAAAAAAGATGGTGTGTTGAGAAATTGCCTGAAGTGGTTTAAGTTGGGAAGCATACACACACAAGTCTTTAGTAACATATTGTCCTATACATGGATTTATCAATGAGTCTCTTTGCAAGTGAAAAGAATAAAAAAAAATAAAGATAATCACATTTAATGACAATAATGAAATTTATATGCAGGAAAAACATGTTGTTGTTGTTGTTGTTTATTCCTCAAGTCGTTCAAATGATCTCTATTTAGTTCAATTGTCTCAGCTTTTCTATTATAGTTCTGGGTTTTTCCCAGAGGTCTTTGAGAAGGAAAGAGAGGTGCTGTTGGTCTGAAGATCTGGAAGTACCACTCGAGGAAAAACATAAATAAGACAATCATCCTCACAAATAGATTGGTATGGGTAAATCTGATGAAGAGAAAATAATACAAATAATAAAAGAGTAGAATTGGCTGGGAAGCAGCTATGAGTGAGGAGATTCCTTATGGGGTGATAAAATCAATACATTCTAAGAAAATGAGTAAAACTAATGTATAATGCTATGGTACAACATGGATTATAAAGATAATAAGACCAAATCTCCAAAGAAATAAAATGTCAAGTTGTCATCATCAGACAAAAGTACTGGAATTAACCCTCAATAGCTCAATTGGAAGAATGAAGAACTGTAGATGTATCAACGGTGTTTCTTAGGTTGCTTGTTCAAATCCGGCTCGAGGGACTTTTCAGTTCTTTTGCCTGATGTTAATGGTAACAACTTTGTTACCAAATTGCCACGCATTATTTATTTAGTCTTATTACCATGTGCTGCAATGTATAATTAAGTGGTAATATTACACCTGGTAGGTACTACATGCCATGATAATCATGGGTGTCAGAGAACTGGTGACATCTGGTGTGCTAGAAGATTTCTCAAGTGGTCATAAACAATTCTCAGTATTTGTTTCAAAAATCACCCGTGAATGCAAAAGTCAATGGATGAACTCCCTAATCCTCAAAGTACAATAGAACAAAATATATAAAGCATAACTATATTCAACTATAAATACAAAGCGCGATGTCCTGCCAAGGACACTGGCGCCCAAAGGAAAGCAATACGAGAGAGAGAGAGGGAGAATCTATTTATATATCCAAAAACATATGCACAAGGGCTTAACACCTAATTACAAAGCCAAAGTGTTCTTTAGAGAGAGGTGTCTTCTTATTGGTGAGCAGCTATTTAGCAAAAGTGGTCTTCTTCTTTCTTCTCTCCACTCAATCACACTAAGGTATCAAGCTTGTAAAGCTTGTTGATGGTGTCTGCCCAGGAAGAGTAGAGCTCATCAATGGATGAGTCAATACAGTCAATAATATGTGCAAAAGTGGTAATTTTGGAGATTAAAACTGTCCTTTGTATAGAGTTACCTCTAGTGAGAGTGATCTCTCATGGAGGTTCTGTCAGCAAACTATATTTGCTCTTGATTACTTCATTCACTTAAACTGTTTCAGAATTCTCTATTCATGATCAAATTGTGAAAAACTTTTAAAAAATGACAAAATATTTCCTTACAATGAGTATCTTTTTATTTAAAATTGTTTCAGAATTCTAAGAGAGAGAAAGTCACACTTTTCTTTGTTGATCTTCAATGATAAAGCACAATATAGATTATAGCTACAAGAATAAATTCTTTTGTCTGATGATGGTAACAACGCTGTTACTGAAACATCACACACTATTAATTTATTTGGATTAGGTCTTATTTTCTTGTAGCTTTGTTGATGATTTTCATTCAAACTGTGATATTTGTGTGTGTATGTACACAGCCATGTAGTTTTATTTCTCACCACCATGTTGTTGTTGTTGTTGCGTAGTGACCCCGCTGGACGTGGTGAAGGTACGGCTCCAGGCTCAGCAGAAGGAGATGGTGCACAGCAAGTGTTTCACCTACTGTAACACAGTAGTGGAAGACTTCTGTTGCTGCGTCAATGGCGTGATCCGCAATGGTACAGGCAGCTTCGAGACTTCTCGTCCCCTCACTGGGACTAAGGTAAGTTGTCACTTCTCGGCTCTTGTTGTATGTATACTAGCCGAATGACCCGGGCAACGCCCGTGTTTTACCCGATTGAATGTTTTGATTCAAATACTATTTGTTACAATTATAAATTGGCGCCTTAAATAAATGCATATATTAGTTAATAACTATAGCCTATGTGCTTTATCTGTCTATGTACTGTTGGCTTCCGTAGGCGTCTCTTACTGGGAAAAAGAAAGAGAGGATTCCATTTAGTTATTAACTAATATATGCATTTATTTAAGGAGCGACCCGCTCCAACACAATAGTTACAAAACCCAAAAAGCGAGTGGGGGGGGGGGCAAAGTCAAAAACAAAGTGTCTCGCGTATTGGCGGCGCCATCGTAGCCACGTGATCGTAGCCAACCAATGGGAGAGCGCCATTCCAAAGAAAAAGCAAACGGTGACAGAGATGATGCATGACACTCGTAACTGTATATAGAATAGTGGAACCCACCCCCTCTCTCTGGAGAAACAAACACTTTATCTTCTTTCTTTCTTATCTCCACACTGGGTGAAGTAGAATGCCTTTGTCATTAAGACTGGGAGCACTACTCAGTGGCAGGCTGACTTAGCTAAAAAAAAATGGCTGCCTCTGACAAGAGGAACAGACACCATATGCAGCTGTTCCTAACATGGAGTACAGACGCTGATCAACCTGTATCCCAGGATTAGGAGCCCTTACAGGGTACTATCAGCAGGGCCAGATGAGCCCAGGTTTTTTTAGTGAGCTTGTTACTGCTCCCCCTCCTCCTTTTTCATCCAGGCTTGGGACCGGCAAAGGCGGAGTTAAACACTTTATTAATTAATTAAGCACTCATTAAGATATTTACAGTCTTCCACTTCTAATTCAACATCCCAAGGCGATCAGAATTTTCACTGGTTGAATTAAAGTCGAGGTGTATTGGATTCTAGACAGTTAAATGAAATAGACTGATTTGTGGATTTAAATAACACACAATGGTTGATTTAAAAGTAAGTGTTGAATTGGTGTGGGTTGGATTAAAGAGATTATATTTTGATAAAGCACAATTTGGATTATAGATTATAGATACAAGAAAATAAAACCTAATCTAAATAAATTAATAGTGCGTAACAGCGTTGTTACCGAATAAGAACCCAATGTTTTTAATTTTTAGGTTTATTCAACTTAAAATTACAGTTAAACCTGTCTATATTGCCCCTTCTAAATATAATAGCGCCTTCCTCTCTATAGCGCCCGATTTTAAATGCGTAGTACAATGCGATTTACATTAAAAGTGACCTGTCTATAGCACCCTATTTTGGTGAGTCCCAAGAGGGGGCGCTATAGACAGGTTTAACTGTATATTTTTTAATGTACAAAAAAATATATTCAAATTTTATTTATAAGCCTCTTAATACTACCTTTTATATAGCTACAATAGTCTTCTCCTTTCTTATCTCCACTCAATCATATTAGGGTATCAAACTTGTAGAGATTGAGAGATATACAATGGTCAAAATGTGAGAAAGGACATGATAAAGCCAGAGAAATGTGAAGACTGCCAGATCATCAAATCCCGCTTCCTATTGTTCCCTCAGCACTTGCACAGGAAGGATGAAGTCACACCTTTGGACTTGGTGCCTGCAGACTTGATGGGGCCATTTGATATAGTCTTCTTCTTTCATATCTCCACTCAATCATATTAAGGTATCAAGCTTGTAGAGCTGTTTGCCGGGGAAGAGTAGAGCTCATCAATGGATGAGATTTGATGTAGTAAGATAGGGAGGTGCCAAGGACACTTCAACTATCATTGATGAAGCTACAAGATATGCCAGTGTATTGTTCCTGAGAAACAAAGACGAAACTCTTAAGAAATCAAAGTGTAGATTCAGGAATCCAAAAAAACTAGTAGGAAACTGAAAAAAATATGTACAGTAAAACCCCTCTATAGTGAACCCCATTGGGACGGGACTTTTGGTTCACTATAGCCACGGTTTGGGTATTTAAATTTTTTTTTAGGATATAATTAAAGGGCATGCGCAAAAAAAAAAAAAGGCTACCTCTTAATATTGGCTGCTTTTTTCCCCCTAAATTAACCTATTTCTATATATTAAAGCTGTATATTAAAATAAAAACAAAATCATGTGAAAATATTGCTATTTTGATCAGTTCCTCTGATAATTTAATTAGTATAAATGCAACCTGTCCCCCATATGTCAAAAAAATCCAAGTATACCATATATATAAAAATTAAATAAAAACTTTATTAATAATATTTTAAAAGGTATAACAATATATATTTTATATAAATAAATATTATATTACAATATAGGATACAAAGGCTTACTTAAAGAAGTCTGTTATTTTTTCTGCTTTAACATATTCCTCAAAAATTTGGTTTCATATCTAGCAAAGAAATCTTCATTTTTTAAAATGAAGCCTAGCTTGTACTAACCACGTATACAAGGCTTCTAAAAGTGGATAATGACACTGACGATAGCGGCAATAGTTGGGATTGATTCCTCTTTGTAGCATTTTTTTTATAGTCTTCTTTTTTGCCCCATATCGTAGAAATGCTACTTTTGCTCATTTTCATTTTCTTCCGAAGTTCCGCTTGCGATGTACCACTCTCAATAGCTTTTATGATGGTTAATTTCTTTTCAAGTGATATCTTGGTACGAGCGACTTTTTCTTTGGCACTTCCATTATCTTTTAAAACTGGTTTTAATAATTTAAATCATGTTTTAAGGAATTTTCCTAATGTAGAGTTAAGAAATTTAGTTTTCAATAAGGCATGAAAAATTTATAAAAGGGCGCAGTATAAAAATAGAACGTAAATAAAAACACCCAATGTCGCTAAATTCTTTGTTTTGAATTGCGATCTGTGAGCTAGAGCTCACACAAAATTTTAATTAGTTTTGAAAATTATAATTTTGGAATTTTAGAATTAAAATTAGAAGTTCGTTATAAGCATGGTATTTTTGATAGAATTTAATATTTTGGGACCAAAATTGGGTTCGTTATAGCGATAGTTCGCTAGTTTGAAAAGTGAAAAGTTCGTTATAACGATGGTAATTTTAATGGAATGGAATTGGGATTTTCGATGGGTTCGTTATAAGGGAAGGTTCGTTATAGCCATGGTTCGTCTTAGCGGGGTTTTACTGTATATATATAATGGCTAGAATGTTGCTCAAAAAGAATGAGATACTTTCTGCGAAGAGCTTTGGAATTATTCATGAACACACAATGATATAAAACCACATTTTAAAATTATCCCGCATATGTTTCTTTTGAATGAAAAATTGAAATTTATTAAGGAGAAACAACAATTATTTCTAACCTTAGGGATGAAGTATGAAAGGATGAATTGTGAAGAGTAATGATAAATAGAAAAATAAAGTGTCCAGGGATGGGAACACAATGACATATACACTCCAACAAAATTGGCTTGGCAGAAAGGATAAACAAGACTCTTTTGGATCTGGTTAGGAATGCGATATGCAGAAGTGGTCTGCCAAAAGCACCTCTGCCTATGTCAGAAATAGAGTACTTAACTGCCACAGGAACACAATAATTCATATGGGAAAAGAGCCTATGAGCATAAAGAGAATATAACTTTGAGGTAATAAGATCAAATCCAAATAAATAAATAAATAGTGTGCGAAGTTTAGGTAACAGCGCTGCTACCATCTTCAGACAAAAGTT